TTGAATAGATAGTCAGAAAAAGTCAACAGATAAATTAAGGGTAAAATTGAAAACAAAAAGTCCTCTAAAACTAATAAAACGACTTCTCATCAAACTATTTTATAAATGGTGGATCTCTTACAAAAAAAATATTTATTGAACCTAATGACTTAAACAATTGTTGGAGTGGACTTTTCAATATTTTTTTTCTTTCTTTTTTTCTTTCCCTTCTATTTAAGTTAATATCTTTATTTGAATTTATTAATTTAGATATTATTTTGATTTATTTTTTTCAAAAAGTGAGATTAAGTTGTTTATATAAATATTTATATTTAATTTTTTACCTTGATATTCTACAACCTCAACAGGGATATTTACTAATAAATTCTATCTCACAAACAAATACTTTAATTAGTCCCAACTTTTTTATATTGATCTATTAAGTCCTATTAGTAGATAGTTTCTTTTCGTGTGATCCTATTTTCGATTTTAGTAGTATTTTGGTGCTATATCCTTTTATTAATGTAGCATGTATGATATAACACTCTAATGTGGCGAGTATTAATGTGACACTCCAACGTGGTGGGTATGATGTGACACTGTAAAAAACTAAAAACTCCTTAGTGTACTTTTCCTAAATGTAACATGTGATGTGACACTCCAACGTGGTGGGTCTGATGTGATATTCCAAAAAAAAAACTAAAAACTGTTTAGTGTATTTTTCTCAAATGTAACATGTGACACTCTAACGTGGTGAGTATGATGTGACACTCCAAAAAAATTAAAAACTATGATGTAATACTCTAAAAAAATTAAAACTTCTTAGTATACTTTTTCTAAATGTGACATGTGACTCTCCAATGTGACGGGTATGATGTGACACTTCAAAAAATTTAAAACTCCTTAGTATACTTTTTTCAAATGCGATACTCTAACGTGATGGGTATGGTATGATACTAAAAAAAAAATTTAATGTACTTTTTTCAAATGTGATACTCCAATGTAGTGAGCAAATAAGTGATTACACATTCAAAATGACAAAATTGATCAGAATAAAAAATATAAGACTATAAATTATAAATCCAAAATATGAGACTTATTGATCAATCTCCTCAATATAAAACATATAAGGTAAATCATATAATGTAAAATTTAAACTTAAACAAAAAATTAGTTGCTTTTAATAATATTATATATTGTTAGGTCCCTTGATTGTCAAATCCGGGTACAAAACTTTGTGCTGAAAAAGTTGTAATTGTTCCTGTGTTTTTGTTCTTCCCGCTCGAGCGGGACCATTGGCGCTCGAGCGTAGATTGGGTCTCAGTATTTTGTCAGGTCTGTAAAAATACTGGAGTGTGTGATTTCGCGCTCGAGCGGGTTCTCAAGCGCTCGAGCGGAACTCTGTTTTGTCACACGTATATTTTGCTGAAGCCGCTCGAGCGGGATGTTGGGCGCTCGAGCGGAGATCGCGTACTCAGGTTGCCTATTTATACCTGTTTAGGTTGTTTTTAGCAAAAAACTGTAGAAATGACGTCATTTCAACGTAAGATCTGCTAGTATATGTTCATCGTGAATATTGTTTAAATTTCTATTCTCGTTTTTGAGATATGACACTTTTAGTATCCATATCCTGCATACCTGAGGCAGCAAATCATTGATAGACTTTCCTTTTTATCTTTTTTATGTTTTCTAGCCTAAGAATCTCAGTCACACACTTCATTTGTACATTTGACAAAGCAACAAAATCTTCTCGTCAGTGCTTTTATTTTCCTATTCATGATAGCTGGAGCAACTGAATTTTCAAGCTGTGTGGGTGCTCAAAGCTCCTTTGTGCTCTCTTGGTGACAAATTTGCTCTACCTTGTTTGTTTTCCCCTATTTTTTTGGTTGCAAGGAAAAAGGAAACTCGAGTCCCTAACATCTAGGTTGACAAACCATCGGATTCCACTTGACCTATAAGGCCAGCGGTCTGCTGTAATCTATTTGAATCCCAATCTATGTACCTTTTCTCTCTCTTTTGTGATCTCTTCTCTGGGCGAACAGCCGATCATCTCGGCCCAACGCACTGCCGGGCTCTCAATTTGCTCGGTCGCTACCTCGGCCCAACTCCAGATCATAAATCACCCTCTCATCACTAATACAACTCAAGAGTTAAAATATAATACATACGATTTCAGAGATGTGTTAGACAGAGTAAATAAAGTACTAACTCCGTTAAACACACCAACAATTCAAGATTTACAAAATGAAATTCGTAATCTTAAAATTGATATTCAAAATCTCCAATCTAGGGTATTAGCTTTGAAAGAAAATCCCGCCGATACAGATGATTTCCTGGCTGATATGACATTCCCTTATGAACCCCATCTCCAAGAATTATCCAATAAGAACCCTACAAAACAATCATTAGTTATTAATGATTCTGTCAATACTTCTAAATAGCATCACATATAAAAAATGGTATATAGAGATCAAAGTCGTCATACATGATTTCGTTTTGACCGATCCAAATATCAAACCCAACCAATACAATTATTATGATTACCAGCAAGCCTGGTTCTACGTTTTTTACTTCCAAAATTGATTCTTCCAACATTCATGGTGGATCCGTTTTGGACCCAATTTTGAGATCACTACAGGAGAAATACCCACCTGGTTTGAACCTTGGTGGCATCAATTTGGACTACAATTTGAAGCTTTATCGAAACCTCTCAAAGAATCTTACCATATTTATCGAAAGGAGGTTAATCCCTCTTATCCAGAATTTTTATATTTCACCATTGATTTTAAATTTCCATAGATCATGGCATGGCAGCGTACTCTCTCCGTTGTTGTCAATACTGCTTTCCTTGCTTGCCAGATCGCATCCAAATGGTGGAAAAATTATAAGATTCCATCAAAACAATATCCTGATCAATTACTTTCATTCTATAAAAATTGCAAGAAAAAGTCCGCTGGTTTCTCATTTCAATATAAAGTATTGTTTGTTATGCTTTTAATTTCGGATTTGCGTCTTGAAATTAATGATAGTATTCTATATATTGTTGACTTACAAGAAGAATTAGCTAATCTACGATTACTCTTATCTCTTGCATCTGGTCAATCAATTATCAATTATTGTCAACGCATTGTTACAATTAAAAAGAAAATTAAAGATGAACAAACTAATTTAAAAGAACTTAGAAAATAATTACAATCTTTAATATATATCTAATCTAGCACTAAGATTATAATACCCTACCCCGGGTCTCCTTTTGATATAAATGTAAATACTAAATTTAAAAGTTGTTCATCATTTTTAAATGTTCTAGACAAGTTACAATTTGGATTTAGGAAAATGTTTGGGACCCCACGACCCCTACTGATGTATTGACCATTGATGTGTGTGAATTTTTTTTGAGAGTTGTGTCTGACAGTGACATGAATAGTTCAGATCATTTTTTGGGTTGTGGAGGTCTCTATCATTACTGTTAGATTTAATAATGATACATTAATTTTAAATTGTCAAATTTAGATTTTGACTTTGGGTTTCTATATATATGTTTTTGAAAATTTCATGACCTAAAGTAAAAGAAAACATTAACATATTGATTTTGGAACAAATGATATTGTGATATGTGTATTTTTGTATTTTATAAGTTAAAAAAGTATGAGAAAATTGGATAAATAGTTTGCAACTCAAAGACTATACAGTGTTTTGCAATTTTAGATAATATGTATATTATAGATTGAAAAATTGATTTACTTTCAAAATTGAAGTAATTTGATGATTATTACTGTCACAACCTGCTTCTGGTATCTAAGGAGTCGGCATCTCGACCGGCTAGTAACCATTACCTAAGGCCGTTTCCAGAACAAATTTAATGACCAAATGCATGCAAAAATAATTATTTAAATAATGATACCAAAATATACATAAGAGCTTCTATTTGTTTATAACACAAAGATTATTAATCAAGTAGGTTGATCTTTACAAATATTACAAAAGAGTACTGTGCATTTATTCGACAGTTCCATTCCCAAAATGAGCCATACACCTCTCTCTCTAATCGTTATTTTTTGAAAATTGGTAGCAATTTATAAGCATATTACAGAGTAAGAAATATTATAGTGAGAATATAAAGGATATAAAATGGAGATTTTTTTTTTAAAGATTCATGATATTAAGATTTTATAAGATAAAAGACATACAATATTTCATAGTAGTGGGGATCCCTCAACATTTTTATAAAGAAAATTCGACACAGTGAAAATTTGTCTCGACACAGAGAAATTTCATCCGCACACAGAGAAATTTATTTGATTTCACGGAGAAAGTTTATCGAGGGACCTTAGCTAATAAAAAAAACATATTAGACTTTTCTTACTACCCAAAGTTGGAGATAGATGTTCACTAATTTTTTCATATAAAATCACCATATATAACTATTTATCATACAAGTTGGACCTCTAACGAATGAGGTTAAAGTGAAATATGCCAATAATTTAAGAGGTCTATTCATACACTTTTATAATTTATGGAGTCAATTTGTACACTTTTATAATTTAAGGGATCAAAATATTATTTATCAATAGTTCAAGGAGTGTTCGTGTAAATAATTTTTTTTTTTCTTTTCAAAATCACTGAACCCAACCCAAACGGGCATGTGAAATAGCTTTCATCATGTTTGGTTCAAGAAAATTGAATTTATTTTTCAATTTTTTAAAAATATTTTACATTATATGTTTTTTTTTTTTTTTTTTTTTTGTACATATGCCTAATCTAATTACATTTAAAAAATATAATATTTGTGAAAAAAAATTTCTCATATGCAAAAAAAATAAAAATTCAATACATTTTCATATTTTATTATATTCATTGATTTTTTTTAAAAATATTTGTATATAATTTTGTTTACTTTTTAACATATTGAGATTAAATAGATTTAAAAATAAAAAATTTGATTAAAATATTTAAAAAATTAATTTAGAATATAAAAATACGCAGTATTAAAAACTCGGAAAAGAAGTAAATCGTAAATCGTAAATCGTAAATGAAGAAGTGTGCTTCTCAGGTGTAGTTTGGAACCCTAACCCTTGATTTCTGCTTCGTCGTCCCGGAGTCTAGCATTGCCATTCGGCTTCCTATTTCTTCCTCCGCAGGTACAACCAGTACACTCTCATCTCTATCTATCGTCTCTTTTTTAGTGACTAAATGAACAAAATGGGCACGTAAGAAAGAAGAATATTTAAGGCGAATTCTCATTGATTGCCTAGTACATTCCAGACAATAGCGCAACATTGATTTTTGAATTGCCATATATTCCTCCAATTTTAACCCTCAAACTTGGATGTTTTCTGAGGAATCATTTGCTTACTCAACAAGTATCGTATTTGAAAATGGTGTCTCTTCATTAATGGAAAGATCCATTGGCCTAGTTGTCACTTCCAAGCATCAATCTATTATGATTTTAATCAAGATAGACTCTTCCCATTGCCAATGCCTCGTGGTCGACTTACAAGGGAGGAGCTATTGAATCTTGGTGAGTCTAGAGGTCATCGAAAGTTAATTGAATTTTAAGTTGGAGAGCGACTATTTTAAGTGGTTTGTGATATACCATGTGGACCTTCAATTGGGTGTATCAGATTTTCCGCAGAAGTATCGTATACACCCTGGCAGGTCGTGTGTATGTCTTATACATTCAATGTGTTTTGCTTCCTTGGAGGAGACGTTGAAGGGGATTTGTGCTTGGTCTTATACAATCCATCCATGCACGGAGACCATATTTCATGTTTGTTGGTATTCTTGCAAAATCGTTAGTGTTGTCTCCATTTCCATGTTTTCATTTGTTTCCTTTCTGGTCTTCTCTTCCTTATAGTTTAGAATGTTCTTCTTCCCCTCTCTTGGTGTAGTAGTTTCGACAGTTGTAAGTTTATTTATGCCTTTTGCAATGAAATGGTTTTAACATCAAAATAAGGATGTAATTCAAAATTTTGGCAAGGTGATGAGAAGTTGCATTTGCAAAGGCTGTGACCAATAAAGAACCTACATTATCTTTACTCTTGGTGGGTGCCAAAGTATTGATGAGTGCATGAAATATATTGAGAAACATGTCTGGACAATAATCACAAAGAACAAATAATGTCTTTAATGAACCTAAGCATGTTGAAGACTTATAATAGGGTTTAGGATGCTTTGTAATTCTCAATCCTGAGGAGTTTACCTTTGATAGTCTATTGGTCTAGTAATACTGTCTCCTTGGGGAGAGTATGCCGATGGTTTTATTTATTTGTGCATGGATGCCTTTTTTTCATGCTTGATTCCTTTTTGAAGTTATTAGGGTTGTCTAAATTTGTTTTCTTTTGTTCGTTTTTTTGGTCAAGAAGATCATGTCATTTCCAGCTATTGTAATTTTAATTGTTCTAAATTGAAGCATGTTACGATGATATGGTTTAGCACATGTCCATTGCTTTTTGTATTTCAGATATCTTCAAGTTTAACTTTTGTTCAAAATTTTGGTTTACTGTCAACTAAGTGAAGTAGTGGTAGTGAGCACATGGATTTCTCTCAGAAAATTATCCTCGCTCATGAAAGGAAATAATATTAACTATTCAATAAGTGAATTGTTGTCTTAAATAAGTTAAACATGACTAAAGGCTGTTACATGGTTGAGTGTGACTTCAATTTTGGTTATTTTGTAATTGGCCTTGAACATTTGCATTGGCAATTATTGGTTCTTTGTGATCTTGAGTAGTTGGTTTTTCGTTGCTTGTCAAACTATTAATGAATTCTATTAATGAATTCTTTAATGTTTTTTTTTTCCAGACCTTTGATTTCTATTAATGAATGTCAAGGTTTAGTAAAAAAAAAGTCATATATTTGTTTATCTAATTGTTCAATATTTTAGCAACCATTCATCTCTAATCACAAAGTAATTCTCCATCCTTTTTCTTCTCTTATTGTACTATAAAATTCATTATTATTGATATGAAATTTGGTTTTGATACTTTCATACCACCACGATTCACAACTTTTTTGTTTCTTGCAAGTATCGATATATTCCCTTTTGAAGAGTCTCACAATAAAACTGTAGAAATGACGTCATTTCAACGTAAGATCTGCTAGTATATGTTCATCGTGAATATTGTTTAAATTTCTATTCTCGTTTTTGAGATATGACACTTTTAGTATCCATATCCTGCATACCTGAGGCAGCAAATCATTGATAGACTTTCCTTTTTCCTTTTTATCTTTTTTATGTTTTCTACCCTAAGAATCTCAGTCACATACTTCATTTGTACATTTGACAAAGCAACAAAATCTTCTCGTCAGTGCTTTTATTTCCCTACTCATGATAGCTGGAGCAACTGAATTTTCAAGCTCTTTGGGTGTTCAAAGCTCCTTTGTGCTCTCTTGGTGACAAATTGCTCTACCTTGTTTGTTTCCCCCTATTTTTTGGTTGTAAGGAAAAAGGAAACTTGAGTCCCTAACATCTAGGTTGACAAACCATCGGATTCCACTTGACCTATTAGGGCAGTGGTCTACTGTGATCTATTTGAATCCCAATCTATGTACTTTTTCTCTCTCTTTTGCGACCTCTCTTTCCTTTCTATTTTGTTTTTCTCTCAAGAATATGGTTCTATTTTAAGATTTCAGATTGTTGGTTACAAATTTAAAATTGATTTTGTTCGCTTCCTTTCAGTCTTTATTCTTTGTGACATGTCATATTTCAAACCAACCAAGTCAATTGGTCTGTTTATTTCTAGGTGGTTGTCAACGATGACATTATTAAAATTAATGTGTTTATACTTATAATACCTGAGGTTGATTGTCAACTGTTCTCTACATTTTTTTGCTCTGCTGTTACGTCGAAGAATTGTGAGCCTGTTCATATACACAAAATGGAGCAGAAAGTCATATAAAATCTAATTCCTCTTTTGCATGTTTTGATTGTATGGTTTATACTAGTGTCTAGTAAATCATAAAATATGAGTAGAATTGTATTAACATGAATAGTAATTGTTGTACTACCATTGTGAACCTAAAATGCAATTTCAACAACATTTTGAGCTTGTATTTTTTGTTGCGTTAAATTTGCAATTGGAGTCCTTTTTTTAGGGTCACTTTTGGTACCGTCCAAACTTAGTAAGTTTATGTTTGAGAGGTCATCATTTTTTAGATTTTAAACTAATAGCTCGTCCCAATGTTTGAAACCATGCCTAAACAAGTAGATAGTTAACTACATGTCTAGAATAGTATACTCAAACAACAATCATATGACAGTGAAAATAAAGTATAAAGTTCTTGTTAAGGAAAGAAAGTCAATCTATGATCATAACAAAGACATTAACTATGCAGGCATAAAATTATATATATATGAAGAAAGAAAGACATAAAATGAAAGAAGGAAAGAAGAAAAATTGAGAAATAAAATAAGAGAATTATATATAGAATGACAATATGCTATTTCACATCCCTAACCAATGACTAAGCCCCCAAGGCCATGTAGCAAAATGTCGATGTAAACCTAGTAGTCATTCATTAGTTGCACAAGGTCACCTAATAGGAGTTTAGAAAGTCGTGGTTGTAGGAAATTTTAATTTTTAGGAATTAATTTTTTTGTTTCTCGTTTTTAATGGTAGTTAGGTTTCCTTTCTTGGGTTGTAATCTATGGAGCACAGACAATGCAAAATAGGCGCCGTAGTGGTGTCGGACACGGGGACACGCCAAATGGTTTGTCCCTTTAATTTTATTATTTTTTTTTTGGAGGGGACATGGAAGGGACACGCCGGGGACACAGCAGGGACATGGGGACAAAGTTGGCACACACCAAATGGTATGTCCCTTTAATTTTATTTTCCATTTTTTTTGTTGGGGACACTCCGGGGACACTTCGGTAACACGCATGTTCAAATATGGATAATCTATTAATTTGTTTAAATATAGTGGCTTATATATATATATATTATATATATTGAATTAATGTTAGTTTTTATTAGTTTTGATTGTTTGGTAATATAATATTAATCTACATAGCAAATATATATAAAAATAAATTAAAAAAAATTGCCATATCCCTTGCTGTGTCCGTGTCTCCGTTTTTTTGAAATCACCATGTCCCGTGGTTGTGTCCGTGTTGCATAGGTTGCAATCAAAGTTATGTATTTATTTAAAAAACACATCTTCTGCTGGATTTTGAGTCTTTTATGATTTGTATATTGGATGGGGCACTTTTTAGGAAGTGTTTTTATTTTTTTTTGGGATGTCTTTAGAGATTTCTAATGTCTATAGAAAGGGCCTCTTGTTGTAACATGATTTTGGAGTTGTAATGAAAGTTTTTCCTTGTTAAAGAATGAATGTGGAATTTTTCTACTGACTTGAGTGTTTGAACTCAAGCAGCCCCTAGTAAGGTATTTTTCTCTTTCATTTTCCTATTTGCTGAATTTCTGTTCCTTCAAATCTGTCAAACAGACTTTAATCATCACAATCCAAACTAATATCATGGAATTCATTACTTTACAGACGGTAGCCCTATTTTCCTCTTTTCAATATATACTAACCTGTCCTTGTGTCACTCATTAAAGGAAGAGAAGGCATCCAACTTTGATGGTGGTAGTGCTGTTGGATGGACTGCCAGCGTTAAGTGGCATAGGTATTGTTGTTATTGTTAATGGTAGTTGTAGACGCCCCATTTTGTCCAACTCTAAGTCTTAGGCATTCCGGATGCTCCCCAATGATGAAAATGTTAATTTTCAATGCAATGGTGCTCTTGGATCACTAATGGGCCTGCTGGATTACCATTTGCTTGGCCAAAACCATATTTTGATAATATTTTCAAAAGGAAACAGGCCATGCATTTAATCAATGCCAAATTGTCAGTTTTTCAAAGAAAAGTATGTTTTATAATTAAAAAAATATCAATTTGGAGTCAGTTGAATGCATAAAGTAAAAAAATACTCAAAATTCAGAACAAGAGACTGAAACATAGTGGGGCCCACTAGTCAACCACATGCTGCCGCACATGCTTAGTCAAACCACAGGTCAGCAACTGCAGCTGCATTCACGGGATTGCAGCTCACAAAGGGACCTGCGGCCACAGATGCTTAGTAGTGATCACAAATTTGATTCTTGCAAGATTTTGTTTACCTTTCCAACTATGGAAGGGCAGCTAGTCGTGCGACTATGCATACACATGTTGGAGTTTCGACCTAATGTGTATTCTTGCCCCCAAGCCTTCTAAGGCTATATATATATAGCCCCTCTCTCACTTATTTTAAAAGAACAATAATTTTGAAAGAATCCCAAGTCATATTCTCACACACATACCCTAACTGAAATTTCAACACTATTCCAGCAGCCAAAACAGTGTTCTTAGGCTACCAAAGGCAAAGGAAAAAGAGGATTGAGAACCATAACCTGAGGGGAGCATCCGTGGGCTCTCTTTTAGACTTTTTCTTGCATTTTCTTCAGTTTGATCATCAATCCAGTGGTAAATCTCTCTCTTTATGCAGTGTTTTTACTTAATTCTACTATGTCATATGTTTTTTTTATAATGGTTAACTAAAGCACATGCATTTTCCATGCCTTTAGAGTAGTTTTTAGGTTGTTTTTGCATTATCCTGTACCTTGCATGATTATTTAGGATTCATAACATATATATCATACATAAGGGCCTGGATAGTTGATCATCCTTACATGTTTGTCACTGTATTTATGCTGTCTTAGTTGTTTTATATGAATAAAAGAAGTTTTTGATGCATATATGCCATGTTTAGATGATTACCGGACCTTTAGGTTCACATTATGAATTGTTGAATTAGTTTTGTATTTAGGATCGTATGTACATGATAATACTAATCATGTTTTCATGGATTTAGTGCGGAGGAGTTATGTAAGTCATTCTCTCTTCTTTTGCATCCATTGTTTGTGGTTGCATTGCCTTTCCTTTAAAAGCATGCTTATGTGCTATTTGTGATATATTTATGTTGTTTGCATGATTTAGAGTATATTTTCTTCCACACCCCTTTGAAAAATACTTATTTTCAGAAACTTTTCATTCCTTTGTATAGCCTTCTAAATATGATTTTTGGAAAGAAAAGATGCGAAAGTATGGAACATTCCAAAATAGATGATATACCTCTTTATTGTGACACATAGATGATAGGCTAGTTTAAGGGATTTAGGTGAAATAAATTGAGTAAGTGGAATTAAATAAGGAAATAAATATCGTACCTAAACTCCCGAACCAAGATTTTTTTGTAGCGATGGACCAATGGCTTAAATTAACATGGAGTTAAGATTTTTTAGTTTCCCCATATAAATTAGGTCGCACCAAATCTAGTGAATTGGTTTGATTTGGCAAAATGTGGGTTGTTCGACTTTGGTTATTTGGATTTCCATAGTCCCTCGATTTGTCCTTCAATAAATAAAATGGAATCCAGTAACTTGTGGGAAAAATGATTTATTGCCAAATTCAGACCTCGATGATTTACAGTTCAAAAAAGGAAAGTCACAGTTGCGCTTGTGCTCATGTGATGAATGTAAACTTGAAGTTGAGTGGAACTGGAGACAGAGGAAGTGCAGCTTAACATGAGTGTGGTGGTAGTGGCAACAGTTGCCTTTGTGGTAGTGGTGGTGGTCGTGTTGATGAGTTTCTCTTCTAATAGAACCTACAATTGCATAGCCAACCCAATCCTTGGGAGCATGTGTTGATTCTATGATAGACTAGGCAGCCCAACAATTTTTAGCAGCTACTTTTCTGATCTCAAGTTGCTCTTAGATAATTCTCGAACAACTTGTATACACTATTTTAATTTCATTCTCCTTCGTGGTGTATATTACCTAGTTAATTATTCCATTTGCTTCCAGAAGTTCTAGGACTCAACTCAACCAATGTGTAGTAGAAATGCTGACTAATTTATGTCTATCAACGTGGATTTCCATTATTTTGGTAAAACTGGTTTCTATCAGTGAAGATCTCATTTCATATGTTGAATTTGCTTTATAGTAGAATTTGGTTATGAGTCATATTGGAAGAGACGGCTTGTATTGATTAGCAATCATGTTTGCTAGTAATAGATTTATGTCTATTATTAGTTCTTCAAGAAATTACTACTCACCCAAAAGAAAAAAAGAAAAAAGAAAAAAAAAAGAAACGAAATTGGTTTCTAGTCAAATATGAAGCAATCAGAAATTACCTTAGACCTAACCCATGTTTGAAACAGAATGCAATAAGAGTTGATTGGATTAAATTATGGCTTCATCCAAACGCTTCCTTAATTAGAGTGTGGTTGTGACTTGGTGTGATGGCATGTTGGCAAGTACTACCCATCCCAAGCCTTGTGTCACGGGTTTGGGTTGCAACCTTGGCTTCACATGAATCAACCTCTCTACAAAGAAGTTGGTGTAAGATTGCCTCCTATTACCTATTTCAGACATTACTGCAAGCGGGAGCTTGTGCATTGATTCAGTAGCCCTGTCACATGCAGCCCAAAGTGACTAGGTAATGCAAAGACTGCCTGTGTACTTTTTTTTTTTTTTTGTTCATTTTTTTTTAGGAATGATTACAAAAAAATACAAAAAATCTAGGATTTGAGCCTTTTAAGAAAATAAATCCTGGGTTTCCAATTTTGTCAATTTAAACCCTAAACTTTTTATTTGTTTTCAATTTAAACCATTTGCTTAATTACGTAAAGTAAAATCGATCGAAAAATGTGTATTTTAGTCATTAAATTCAATAAAAAAAATATACATAAAATGTCTTAAATACCTTTTTTTTAAATATTGAATTTAATGACTAAAATACACATTTTTTATCGATTTACTTTACGTAAATAAGCAAATGGTTTAGATTGAAAACAAATCAAAGGTTTAGATTGAAAACAAATCAAAAGTTTAGGGTTTAAATTGACAAAATCAAAAAGTTAGGATTTATTTTGTTAAAATGGTCAAACTTTGGGTTTTTTTTGTAATCCCCTCCCCCTCCCCCTCCCTCTCCCTATGAGTATCACTGTGTACTTTTAAATTATTTTAAATTAAAAAAAAAGGTAGAAATAGATGTACCTGTGCATTTTTGGAACATTTTAAAATTAAAAATGGGGATAAATTAAAATTTAAAGACATATATATATATATATATATGCAATTATCTGTGCACAATTTGTGCATTATTTGTGCACTACTGTTCATTATCTCTACACTTTTTACAGCTAAAAATGCGGCATAAAAATATATTTGTCTACCTTATTAATGCTTTGCAATCACTCAATTTAGTCAATGACTTTGATTGTATCGAAATTTCTCAATTGTATAAGGGCTTGTTGCTCTGCTCATCCCTCTTGATTCACTTTGGATTATAACAACGGTTGTTACCATGTTCTCAGCCTTACTACCAAGAAATTTTGCACCATTCCCTGGCCTAGCAATGGGGATGACAGAAACTTCATTATTTCTACAAACTTGGCATTTGACCCGGCTATTTCACTTCACTACAAAATAATTGTTGTATGTTCCATAGAATGGTGCAACCTTGATTATCGAATTGCCGTATATTCCCTGGAAACTCGAACTTGGGTGTTTTTTGAGGTATCCGTTGTTTACGTAGGGAATATAGTAATAGAAAATGGTGTCGTCTTTAATGGTACGATCCATTGGCCTTGTTGCCACTCTGAAACATCAATTTGTTATGATTGTAATCGAGTTGATTTCTTGCCATTGTCAATGCCAAATAGTCTGACAAGGGTACTGGTGTATTTTGGGGAGTCTGGAGGTCATTTACGGTTAATTGAATCTTATAAAAATTGTGGTCGTCAATTTGATGTGTTCGAGCTGGAGAGCAACTATTTTAAGTGATTTGTGAAATACCGTGTTGACCTTGAGATGGGTGCATATTAGATGATTCATACGTGCATTGGCAATTCCGTGGGTGATAAATAGAGATATCTGTCCACAGTTAAATTAAAAATAAGGATATATACATATATGCATTATCTGTGCACAATTTGTGCACTTACAATTTTTTTTAATTAAAAATGGGACATACAAATATATATGTCTATTTTACAAATGTTTTGTGATCGCTCAATTTCGTCAATGACTCCAATGACATCAAAATTTCCGAGTCGTGTAATGGCTTGTTACTTTGCTCTTACCTCTTGCTTTGATCATAACGACACTCGTTACTACGCTCTCAACCATACCACCAAGAAATTCTCCATCATTCCTAGGCCTAGCAATGAGGATGACAGAAACTTCGTACTTTCCATTAACTTGGAATTTGACCTGGCTGGTTCACTTCACTACAAAATAATTGCTGTCCGTTCCAAAAAATGGTGTAGCCCTGATTGTTGAATTGCCATATATTTCTCGGAAACTTGAAGTTAGGTGTTTTTTGAGGTATCATTTGCTTACTTAGGGAATTTAGTAGTTGAAAATGGTGTCTTCTTTAATGGTAAGCTCCATTGGTGTTGTTGCCACTCAGAAACGCCAATATGTTAGGAATTTATTTGAGATGAGTTCCTGCCATTGCCGATGCGAAACAGTCTCACAAAGGTGCCAATGTATTTTGGTGAGTTTGGAGGTGTATATGGTTAATTGAATATGATAAAAATTGCGGTAATTAGTTTTATGTGTTGGAGTTCAAGGCAACTATTTTAAGTGGTTTGTGAAAGACTGTTGACCTTAAGATGGGTGTATCTATTTTTCCAGAAATGATTCGTGCGTGCATTGGCATTTGACCTGTCTGTTTAACTTCACTACAAATTAATTGCTATCCGTTCTAGAAAATGGCACAACCCTGATTGTCAAATTGCTGTATATTCCTCGAAAACTCGATGTTGGTAAGGTGTCAGGTGCTTACTTAGGGAATGTAGTAGTTGAAAATGGTGTTTTCTTTAATAGTAAGATCTATTGGCCTGATTGTCACTCAGAAACATCAATATGTTATGATTTTAATTGAGATGAATTCTTGCCATTGCTGATGCCAAATAGTCTCACAATGGTGCCAGTGTACTTTGGGGAGTCTTGAGGTTATCTACGGTTAATTGAGTCTTATAAAAATTGGGGTTGTCAGTTTGATGTGTTGGAGTTAGAGAGCAACTATTCTTAGTGGTTTGTGGAATACCGTGTTGACCTTGAGATCGGTATATCTGCTTTTCCAAAAATGATTCGTAGATGCACTAGCAGTTCCATGACCTATGGAGTGGACGTGCTTTGTTTCCTTGGTGGAGAAGTTGATGGGGATTTATTCTTGATCTTATACATGCCTTTGTGAAGTCATCCTATAACTTCAAGGATAGGAGTTTTAGTAAGGTTTGTGATTTGAACCTGTCAGCTGATATTACTCGGACTTGGATGTTTTATAATGTATCAGTTGCTTACTTTGGGAATATAGTAGTTGAAAATGGTGTCTTCTTTAATCTTGAGATCAATTGTCCTTGTTGCGACTTAGAAACATCAATATGTTACGATTTTAATTGTGATGAATTCTTGCCATTGCTGATGCCATATAGTCTTACAAATGTGGTAGTGTATTTTGGGGAGTCTTGAGGTCATCTATGGTTAATTGTATCTTATAAAAATGGCGGTTGTGAGTTTGATGTGTTGTAGTTGGAGAGTGACTATTCTAAGTGGTTTGTGATGTGTTGACTTTAAGATGGGTGTATCTACTTTTTCAGAGATGATTCGTGTGTGCACTAGCAGTTCTGTGGGGATAAATAGAGATATCTGTCCACCGTTAAATTAAAAATAAGGATATATACAAATATGCATCATTTGTGCACAATTTGGGCATTATTTGTGCACTATTGTGCATTATTTGTGTAGTTTCAATTTTTTTAAAACTAAAAATGGGACATACAAATATATTTGTTTATTTTACAAATGCTTTCTGATCACTCAATTTCGTTAGTTACCCTGATGGTGCCAAAATTTCCTAGTTGTGTAATGGCTTGTTGCTCTACTCTTTCCTCTTGCTTCACTTTGGATTGTGACGACACTCGTTACGTTACTACATTCTGAACCTTACCACCCAGAAATTTTCCAGCAATCCTAGGCCTAGCAATGGGGATAACAAAAACTTCATAGTTTCCATGAATTTGACAATTGACCCGGCTGTTTCACTTCACTACAAAATAATTGCTGTAGTTCCAAAAAATGGAGCTGCCCTGATTGTCAAATTGACGTATATTTTCTCAAAAACTCGAATTTGGGCGTTTTCTAAGGTATCTGTTGCTTACTTAGGGAATATAGTAGTTGAAAATGGTGTCTTCATTAATGTTAGGATCCATTGGCCTTGTTGCCACTCAGAAACATCAATATGTTATGATTTTAATTGAGATGAATTATTGCCATTGCCGATGCCGATGCCAAATAGTCTCACGATGGTGCCAGTGTATTTTGGTGAGTCTTGAGGTTATTTACAGTTAATTGAATCTTCAAAAATTGTGGGTTCTTAGTTTGATGTGTTGGAGTTGGAGAGCGACTATTTGAAGTGGTTTGTGAAATACCGTGTTGACCTTGAGATCAGTGTATTTGCTTTTCCATAAATGATTCGTACATGCGATGGCAATTCTATGACCTATGGAGTGGACGTGCTTTGCTTCCTTGGAGGAGAAATTGAAGGGGATTTATGCTTGATCATGTACACGCCTTTGTGAAGTCATATCCTATACCTTAAAGGATAGGAGTTTTAGGAAGGTTTGCGATTTGAACTTGTGTCCAGCTGATATTACTCGGACTTGGATGTTTTATGATGTATCATTTTGCTTACTTAGGGGAATATTGTAGTTGATAATGGTGTCTGCTTTAATGGTAAGATCCATTGGCCTTGTTGTCACTCCGAAACATCAATCTATTATGATTTTAATTGACATAGACTTTTCCAATTTCAATGCCTCATGGTTGATTTACAAGGGAGCTACTGTATTTTGGGGAGTTTGGAGGTCGTGTACAGTTAATTGAATTTTATAAAAATTGCACTCATCGTTTTCATGTGTTTGAATCGGAGAGCAACTATTCTAAGTGGTTTGTGAAATATCGTATTGTTTTTTAAATAATATTTTTGTTTAACAACGTTAGTATCAAAGTGGAAATGGTCATTGATGATGACAACCTCCTGAAGCAATCTTGATACACCTATCGGCGAAGCCTTTCTTCTGATTCATATGCACGAGATGGCTCACTCTAATCTCCGATCATTATATCCTTGATTGGAAGCTGCGAACATTTGCTTGGGGTTTCTTTCTTTGTAGGTGCTCTTTACCCTCGTCTAATGTAATCAGATTTAATTACGTCTGTCTACTTTCAAATGAAAAGGTGTGGAGAAATTGAAACCATTATTAAATTAAAATACCATTATTTCTTTCTTTGTAGGTGCTTTTTGTGCATTATCTTCGCACTACTATGCATTATTTGTGCACTTTTGAATCTTTTTTAAATTAAAAATGGGATATACAAATATGTCTACTTTACAAATTAAAAAAAGGGGGATTGATATATATGGTGTTGAAATTTGAACAGGTAATAACTTTGCTTAGTGGTCTATTTTGAATGAACTTTTTTACTCATGTATTTTTTTTGAGGTCTATGCACGATTTTTGCAAAAAAGAAAAAAAAAAGAGGATACCACTGCCATTTTCCACAAAGTAGAATCGTAATCGAAGTGCTGCCTCTTCTCTACCACTTGTTTGTCGATATGGATTCCTTTGGCAGTCGTCACTACCTCCAACGTTGCCCGCCTCTCCACCCAGATTGTTAGTATTAGCGCCGCTGAAAAGGTCATCGACGATGATAGTCTCTTCAAGCAAAACCTAATTCGGCCACTGGCGAAGCCTCTTTCGATTCAAGCTCGTATGCACAAAATGGTTCACTCTTATTTTCAATCCTCATGTCCCCAACACAATTAAATTTAATTATATGTGTTATCGCCAAGAATGGTTTTGCAAAGAAGAAAATGCCTTCAAATGCTTTGCGATCACTCAATTTCGTCAATGACCCCAACCGTACCGAAATTTCTGAGTCCTGTCCTGAGTGGCCACTCAACCCTAAGGCAACTTGGGTGGTCGCCTAGGGGCCCATACAAAGAAGGGTCCCATTTTTTTTTTAAAAATAGTGTTATTATTATACAGTTTATGTATCACATAAAAATAAAATCAATAGTCAAAATAAAATTAGTAAAAAACAAAAGTAGCCAATTTAGAGTAGGTTTGAACAATTTGAAATATATGATTTTTTCCTTTTATATTTCAAAAAGTTAAAATCTCTTTGACGATGATAGTTTGAAAAAAAAATATTTTTGTCGTCTTTAATATCTTCCTAAACATAACACCTTTTTTTTTTCTTGATATTGGTGGTTTAGATTTGTTTTCAAAATTA